AAAAAAAAAAAAAAAAAAAAAAAAAACAGCGAAAAAAAATGGAAGCTCTCTTTCCACAAACATTATGTTTCTTCGGTATCTCTAATACTAAAAAACAACAACAAAAAAAAAAAAAAAACTCTAAAAATCGAAGCGCAACTCGAATTGCACGCGTTCAACGACCAGCAGGGCGTTTGTCCCACTGGCAGCTTTCGAGTTTCCTCAACGCCCGAATCTGGACGTATTTGCGGAGAGGTGCGGCTGAGAAACCTCAATGAGATTTTCTGCACATGTCCACACACACGTCCAGATTCGGGAGTTGAGAAAACTCAGCGCTGCTAGTGCGACTTGTTGGCCCCAGGTCACTTCACTTTACTCGTTGATATGCAGAAAGCGATTCACCACCTGGCACAAGTAAAATCACCGTAATTCACTACGTGAAAAAAAAAAAAAAAAAAAAAATCACCGTAATTCAGTACGTGAAGAAAAAAAGGAAACGCTCATGATAAGTTTTCACAAATGGAAGAATAAAAGAAAAAAAAAAAGAAAAAAGAGAAAAAAGAAAAAGGAGGAGGAGACGACATCCATCCATTCATTCCAGCCACACAACCTCAACACTTTCCATCTCAAATGTGAGAGTCTATACGTGCTGCTGATTGCCCATCATCGTCAGATTCGTCACTATTCAGTCCGCCTGCGTCCTCATTTCGCACTCTACTACCCTACCGTAATGTGGTTCTGAAAGACGAACATTAAAAAAAAAAAAAAAAAAAAAAAAAAAAAAAAAAAAAAACCCCCCAAAAAAAAAAAAAAAAAAAAAAAACGAACAAGTAAAGCCACCCCAACACAGCAAGGGAAGAAAACCAAGAGACACATCCAATCCATCCATTCATTTCACGCACACAACCTCAACACAACATTTCCATCTCAGGGTGTATTTATACATGTATATTGATTGCCCTTGCATCTCAGGGTGTGTGTACACGCCATCGTCGACAGTCATTCCGCCTGCATCCTCATTTTCCAAAACTAACCCTATTAACAGGCTCCCTCTCTCATCAACACACCCCTCTCTCATCGCTTGGTCGATCGGAGAGTCGCCGAGTCTTGCGCGCGCCTCCTTTCAGACCAAACTTCCTCCTTTCCTCCACCCTAGAGACTCTCGTGAGCAGGTCGCTGCCTCTTCAGTGGCTTCCGATTCCCCATTCCTCCTCCTGGATCCTCATTTTGCAACTACCCCCCTTTCCTTAACCCCAATTAAGAAAGCCCACCCCAATTAACAAAGCCCCTCTCTCTCATCGCTTGGAGAATTGCGGGGCTTTGCGGGCCTTCTTCAGACCATACTTCCTCCTTTCCTTAACCCTAGAGTCTCGCGTGAGGAGGTGCTGCCTCTTCAATGGCGTTCGATTTGCCGCGTTGGCTTGGCAGAGCGCCCTGGATATTCCCAGTGCGATGGCTCCTGCTTGTCCAGCTATCCCACCTCCCTGCACCTTAACGAACACGTCATACTTCTGCTCATACCCTAGACTTACCAGCGGCCATTGAATTAACTGCACAAGCTCAGGATTACTCTGTAGGTAATCAGCGCCAGGTCTTCCATTGACGACGATCCTACCTGTGCCCTCGATGAGACATACCCGCGCAATGGCACACTTTCGCCGCCCCGTGCCCAAGTGCTTCAACCCCGGGCCGGAGAGGAAAGACGGCATGCGTTCTATTTGCGGGGCTGTTGACATAGCAGCACCAGCGGAAGCAGAAGCACGTACAGCTCGGCGGAGGGCTGGGGAACTGGCGCCGCCATTCCCGCCATCTTTCCGCCGCCGCCGTCCAAAGCGCGCCGCCGCCGGCGCTGCCACGTCAGCAGCCAGTCTGAAAGAGGCGCCAAAAAGTGAGGACTTGGACAAGCCCGCTGCTGCAAAACTGCACCGCCGCCGCATCGAGCAGCAGAGGGGAGATGAAGTCGACGTCGCAAGTGCATTGTCTCTGGTCGTTCTCTGGAACCTCACTGGAATAGAAGGGGAAGCACACGTGGCCTTCCTCGCGCTTGCCACGTGTAAGGAACGCGCCGAGAGTTGAACTCCTCCCGCGCATGGTGCGCTCTTCATTATGGCGGCTGCCATTATGACGTCTTACTTGCCGCCACCGCCGCCGCCGCCGCCTTTCTTTCTTTCTCTGATTGACACCTGTCCCTCTTGTCCCTCTTGGCTCCTACAGGATTAACAAAAAAGCAAAACGCAATGAATATGTTTTCAAGTTTCAACAAGCGAAAACAAACAAAAAAAGGGCTCAATTTCCCACCCAAAAAAAGAGGGGAGAAATACTATGCTAATGCCTGTAAAATTTTGGACCGCACATGGAAGCAAAGACAAGCATATGTCTTCCCCCATTGTTTTGCATGCCTTCTCATCATTGTGCCTCCCACTCTTCCTCCTCCACATCTATATGCCATATAGTCAAATCCTTTGTCTCTCTCTCTCTCTCTCTCTCTCTCTCTCTCTCTCTCTCTCTCTCTCATGTCCTTGAAGATTGCTTTCTCCTCCGTCGTTCTATATCCCAAAATATAGACCCCCCTCTCTCTCTCTCTCTCTCTCTCTCTCTCTCTCTCTCTCTCTCTCCCCACCCACTCACACACCTCATCCTCCACAATTGCCGCTTTATTTCCCAGTTGCCTCCAACCCCCCTCCCCCCCCATATAGAATTTGAGCTTCCCCCCACCCACATTACCTCAATTTCCCGCTTCTGCGACCTTGACGCTTCCCCTCACCCCCCCACCCCTATTCCTTCTCCCCCCTGCCTACCCCTATTGCAATGTTTTTCCCACCTTTCCCTATCAACATCCCCGAACACCTATTGACATTCTTCACCAAGAAATTGAGGGTTAAAAAAATAAAAATATTTAAAAAAACGCAAAAAGAGATGCTTCACACCAACCCCTCTTCCTCCTTCCCCCTTCTTTTGTGATTTCGAGGATCAATCCCGCCCACATTTTCACCCCCCCTCCCACCTCCTCCCAAGATTTCCGCTCCTTTCTCCCACCCCCCTCTTTTCCCCTCTCCTGCCTCCTGACACCTACTACAAACGCTTTTCCCCACAGCTTTCCCCCCCTATTCCCCTATTGCAATGCTTGCTCCCCCCTCTTTCTCCCTCTCCCTGCCTCCCAGCCCTGTCTCAATGCTGTTCCCACACGCCTCTTTTCTCCCATTCTTCCTCTGGTACTTCATAATTCATAAGAGCTTTTATACGGCTCGCCTCTACGCCGCTCCCCATCCTTCTACCCATATTTCGACCCTATCCCCACATTCTTTCCTCCTTTTACCCCCCCACGTTTTTTCCTCCTTTTACCCCCCCGCGTTTTTTCCTCCTTTTACCCCCCCGCGTTTTTTCCTCCTTTTACCCCCCCGCGTTTTTTCCTCCTTTTACCCCCCCACGTCTTTTCCTCCTTTTACCCCCCCACGTTTTTTCCTCCTACCCCCTTTTACACCCTTTTTCTGATTTCATGTCCACAACTCTCCCACACTCCCATTTCCGGTCCCAGTTTTCCCACAGTCACATTCCCAGTTCCATCCATCCTTCTGCCGATAGAAGGGCCCTCGCTCATTATTCTCATTGAAAAAAAAAAAGAAGGGCCGTCGCTAATCTTCAATTACCATGTGCGCAGCAATTTCCCTCCTTTCTTTCCTCTTCCTCCTTTTTTTTTTTTCACCATTATTAATCAATTTATGCCTGTCATCCCATGTGCGCAGGGGCCATGCTAATCAACCTTCCTTCCCTGTATCGTTCCAATTCTGCAAAAA